GAAAAGCTCCTGGGGTTGACTGACACTAACTTTGAACCCACCTGGAGAGTCGAACCTTGGCATTTCCTTGAAGGTGAAATGGACCGGCACTGAACAAATCTCTACTTCGATCTAAACTACGATTTCCTCAAAACCCACAGCAGCTTTCTCCAGCATCCTGTTTTAACCATATCCTCCAACTACTAAGAATCTGGAGCCCAAAAATAGAAATGCATGGGTTGGAGAAGGGGGACCGGGAGGAGGGGCAGGAGCCTTTGCAGGGATAGCTGACAAGCCCCTACCCAGACGGCTGCCACGCACGTCTCGCTTGAAGCCCCACTTCATATGTAACAGCACACATGCTAACTGGCCTCCTGGCTGCGCGCCGTGTGGCCGGCTTATCACAGCGGCACTGGCTAGGCCAGTTCCGCACGGACTTTTGTTGCTGTCGCCTAAGAAACAGGCTGCCACAATTTCAGCTGCTTTTATTGATTAAAAGAAGCGAAAATATATATTCCTCACTTCATCTCTGAATGTCATCACATCCCTGAGACACACGCCACAGGCATGGAGATGGAGCAAGGGGCAGAGCAGGTGCCCATGGTGGCTGGAATCCTGTCTGGCCTGTTCACGGACCACGGGACACATAAAGACTGGGCAACGAGCAATGTTCTGTGAGCAATGACGCAGGACTTTCTTGTGAGGCAAACACGACAAGTACCAGCTTGCTGTTAGACTGTTCATGCCAGAGGTGACAGGCCAGGCACCAGCAGGTAACCCAACCACAGGGCTAGAGGTACAAGTCCACTGGCAGTCAGAGGGATGGCCCCCCTGAGCGTGGAAACCCAGCAAAGTCACCACGATTGACACGCAGAGCCTTTTGTTTCAGGAAAACGTTTTCACTTGACATTTTCTTTTCAGGCGATATTTAATGAAGGAATTTTATTGAAAAGAATTCTTGAGCAAACACTGTCATAAAGTTTTGATGTAAGATCATTCTGACATTTCTTCCCCACGAGAGCCATCGTGAAAGTGAGAAATCTCGGGCGCTTGAGGGGAAGGAATTATGTACAACAGTAAAGGAGATAATGTGCCACAGCCCCCTTGGAGCCTGTCATCTTTAACTAAGGCTGTTTGCCTTTCTTAGCTGAGATACTGTTGCTAAAACCGGAGACGAGAGAACTTTCTTAATGAAGCTTTGAAGATTCATATATGCTGGTTGTTATTTATTTCCCTTTTTGTTTGTCTCTTTGTTTATCTACGTGAGTAATGAATCATAAAAGAAAACTAGCAATACTGAATTAGGGTATAATACTTTGTTATCACCATAGTGTGATGTACAGAAAGCCTTAGAAATATCAAGAACTGCACAAATGGATTTTTAGAGATGTTTAGAGACTGCACCAAATCTAATCATGTTGAAGTTTTCCCAACAAGCTATGATGGTTCTAAAGGTGATTCAGTTAAGTCTTTTTGCAGGCCACAATTTGGTAAATTATGGTTTTGTTTATTCAACTACCAAAATTAGCAATTACTGCCAAATTACTGTGTCAAGGGTTAGAGATTCAACGCCAAGCAAGCTCCCAAATCAATACAGAAGACAGAAGCAGACAGGGATAATAAGGTCTGCACAGAAGGGCTAGGTTGTAGCTCATTGTAGCATTTACCCAGAACTGGGGAGCCAGGAAAGGCACCCCATGGGTTGATAAAAACAAAGGTCTGAAAGATAAAGACCTGTGCATAGAGGGTCTAAGACAGCATGCAGGTACGACCCAGTAGACATCAACCACAGAGTGTGTGTACATTTGCATATTAGCTCTTTATTATATAGGATTATGAAACTTGAACTCAGAACCTTGTAAGTTACATTCACAAGTATAAAGTTTACCCAAAAGCCATGGAACAGATGTCTGCAGGTGAGTGGCATGATCAGATTTGCAGTTAGGGAAATTCACCCTGGCTGTTGTATGGCAAGGGAATTGGAGGGGGGCAGGTGTAGAGGCAACGAAACCGATAGGCAGAGGGAAGGACAGGTTTGTGTCTATGAAGGTGGAGAAATATTTAGGAGGTAAAACCAACAGAACTTGGTGAGTTAATATCTTTGATTCTATGTGAAGTTTTAGCTTTGAAAATTCTGTTGTTTCCCTTCAGAGGATAGAAAAGAATATTATCAAATAGCAAACTCAGCTTAACAAAGAAAGAACAATGGTATTCTACCACACTCATAATAAAATTTCTAATGCTTCGCATCTAGCGTCTTGAGCAATTTTATTAACACCATTTACCATGCCAACCTCCATGATAACTCTCAGGTCAGAATCAACAAAATTGCCTTAAAAGTATTGCCCTTCCCCCACCAGTGATAAGCTCCTCATCTTCATACCCCAGCACCAAGCAACACTCCACACATACAGCTCAATAAATGTTAGTTTAGTGGAAATGAAGTGAAATCCAAGATGTGATTAGGTCAAATGTGTCAAGCCTACCGAAACTACCTAGCATAAAAATAGGTCTCCTGTGCTACATTTTATTTAAGGAACAAATGACAGCAGAAAATGGAACTAATTTTCTGAATGGAAAGATAAAGTAGCGTAATCGCTGAAAAGCAGCTGGAAGGAATGCTTGAGAGAGGCGTTAAGCAGTACTGCCCAGACACATCGGTGGGAAGACCAGAATAACAGGTAAATATACACACGGGAGAGCTGAGCTGATTGAATCGAGGAGTAGAGGTTGGCTCGTGAAATGAGAATGACCCAGAAATAGCCAGAGTTCCCACCAATAAAAACAGAATCCACTGGTTTCCAGCAGGTTACATGTTACCGTGGTAACAGCTCTAGATTGAGAATAATACGGATGATACGTTAGTCCTTAGGTAATCACATCTGCAGTCTTTGTTCCCATACCCAGCATTATGCTTTTTTTTTAAGATGTAGATATTTCAACTTGTTTTAAGTCACAATTCAATCTCCCCTCATACCTAGTACAGTGGCTGAAACCTGATAGTCAGGAGGGGTCATCAGTGAACATTAAAAGAATGTCTCAATGGATAATTGAGTGAATGAATGAATTCATTAATTTGTGCTTAGGTGTTCTCTTGTCTGAATTTCTATTTCTTCTTCAAGGAGAAGGAGCAATGGAAAAGGAGAAGCGATGTAAGTATGCAACACTACATTACCTTTCTCAAGGATCCAACAGTCCTAATTCTTCCTTTTCATGTTTTCCCGTATAACACATACACATGTGCTTATAATCATATGGATTTTTTCTTTTTAAAATTTCTTTATTATTTAAAGTATTACATATGTCCCCTTTATTCCCCCATTGACCTCTTCTAGCCTGCCCCAATCCCCCGCCCCAGGCCTTCCCCACCTATCATCTGTGCCCATGGGCTATAGATTTTTTCTTTTTAAACATTTTTATAAACTTTGGGCACTCTGAACTTCAGTCTTCCTGGCTGTATTTTCACAGATATGTGATACCTATTTGCTTTTGCCCTTGACCGTAGGAGCCTCCTTTAACATCCTGTGCATATGTTTTTATATCTAATTTTAGCAAAAGCCTCCCATTGTGTCCCCATTTATCCTCTTAGCTGTTCTTTTCTATCTTCACTGAGATTATTCACATTTCTATGATCAAACAACACCCACCCATTTGTATCCCATGGATCATACTTCCTTTTCTGCAAGTTTTGGATGGTTCGTTTCCTAGGGTACAGAACTGACTATAATTCATGTTTTCATCTTTTAGTTTTTGGCAGTCCTGTTTCTCCCAAAGTTTCCACCATTTTTTATCACTAGCAAGCTATTTTACTTCATTTAAAATTAGCATCAGAATTAAAGTTTCCTTCTCTATTTCTGGCATATGAAATTGTTAAAGTAAGCAGATCGTTTATCTTCTGCCCTGCTTTTCAGTAAGGTGTTCCTTCCAGGAGCTGTCTGATTCAATTTCCCCATCACTATTACCACAACCTTCCTTGACATCCACTCTCCAATTTGCAGCGGGAAACCATTGTCCATGTT